TTTTCTCTCGCTTTATACAAACACAAACACATTTTATACATTTGTATACCGAATGGGTAATTGTATACCGAAAATGGCTAATTGTACACCGAATTAGATGGCAAGAAAATGGGATGTTTGCTGCGAATTACAAATAAAATAAACTGTGGCTATATCATTTAATTTGAATTAATAGTTTGTTATTTCATACAATTTTTTCAATTATTAATGCATTGATAAACACTAGTAAAATTAAACAATGGATAGAAAATAGTTTTAACATAACTAATCGTATTATAATGAATCCATACTTATTAAAACACCATGTTCAATATTATTTTTATATAGTTGACCAAATGACCTTTTCTGGATTAGTACTACTTTGACCAATACTATGCTGATGCTTACGATAAAGGTGATTCTTTCATCTAAGCGCAGCCTCCATTAATTTAATTAATTATGTGATTAGTGCTATGCCATCTGTAAAGTAGCCATGCTAAATGATTAGCCTTTAATAACACTTTAATTTAATACAACTGACAAATTTTAATTTTTATATGGTGTAACACAAAAGTACGATAAGCTACGGTACAAATTAATTGTCTCACTTGGATTGAGTTTAAAACTAATCTTCTCCCTTTCACCTACCGCCCATGTATGCCTTTCACCTAACTTAATTTCATAAGTAGTTTAACAAAGTATGTTTGTTCAAGAGCATATAAGGGAAGGATCTAATATTGGAGGTCCCACTTAGTTATTGTGTTAAATAGATTTCTCGGCCTAGTTCAATCTCAAAAACTTAAAGATCCAATAGATTTCACTTAAGGTTTCAATATTCCTTAAAAAATTGTTTGATCTGAATTTCGTCGAATTGATTTTCAAATTTTTAGAAAATAATTATAAATTTTAATATCAATTTTTAATTTTATTTGTAATGACCTTTCCCATCGTTATAATTGTAAAGATCCAGGGCCGTCTCAACAAATTTGGGGGCCTAAAGCCAAACTTTCATAGAGAGGTCTTATTTTTTTAGTTGTCATATGTAAATTGAATGACTATAATATACTCAATGTAATCCTACAAGTGAAGTCTCGAGAATGTATGATGTACGCAAATTTTATGAAGTAAGAATGTAAACAATAAAAATCTTCAATGAAAAAATATAATATAAAGTTAAAGTAATAATGCATGCCTCAAGAATTTAAAAAGTTTATATAATAATATTGAAATAGTTGCGTGGAATTTGATATAATGATTATTAAAATAGTATTGATCTGTTGAAGTGCTTAAAATTTTAAGAATACACCAAAAAATAAATTTGATCTTTTTATAAACACATAACAATATATTTTGCATAATGCAAACGTTTGACTGTTTGGTGGAATTTAGAATATTCAATAATGAGAGAATATAAAAATATAAATGGAAATAAAATAGATAAATGTAAGAATAATAATGTGGGTTCATAATAATCGTCAAGATATAATAAGTTAATAAAATAGGCAGTAGTGTAAGAAAGGATGTTACATATACACACACATATGGAGAACATTGTAATAATTGAGAAATGAAATAGTATTTAGTTAATTGTAACGGATCCGGCTCCCCTCCATTACCCCTTCCCTCCATTTCGTCAAGTGTATGTCTAGATTAGAGACATGTGTCATATTTAA